TAAGAACGTATATTCGGTGGCCTTGGGTAAAAACGTACGTACGGGATCCATAAACCAAACTAGAGGAACTCGTTTGGGGATACCACCCAACCTGACAGTTAGTAATCTACTGTTCAGTTTTCTGGATTTGTACCTTAAGCGAAGGCTAGTTTAAGAGTTGGTAAATAAATTGGAATATGTACCTTAAACTAATGACCTAGCTTAAGAGTTGGTTAGAAGTACCTTAAACTAGAAATAGTTTAAGAGTTGGTAATCATCAAATCTTTTAGACTAAGCTTAGTTAAAGATATTGTTGAGCATTGAATGTTGAATATTGAAAAATGGAAAATATCATGAATGAATTATATATTGTGTGCATGACATCAAATGGTTGTTTGTGAATTGAGATTCAATTTATATGGATGTTCGACGCATTAGATATGCTTACTCAGCTTAAATGCTGAGCGTGTAGTATGTTTTATTTGCTACACGCAGGTAAACAAAAAGAATGAAGAGATGATTTCCTGGAGGCAGATGGGATGAGAAGATCGGACGGATGTGTGTTTTGCATTAAAATTACTGTTGAAAAGACAAAAAATGAATTATGTTTGTATTATGCTTCCGCAACATTAAATTACTCCGTTACTATTTTGAATTATTCATTATGAAATAAAGTTTTAAATATTTGAAATATATTAAATGTTTACGAATACCAAGTTTATACTTTAGTCCGAAAAGGGCTGCAGACCTGGACGGATTAGGGTGTTTCAGAATGAGACCCCCGTTTACTAATCTGCGTAGCGGCAACACAATATAGATTCAAGGCATATTAACAAATCTCATCCAAGCCTGCAACAATTTGTACAATATTTTTTTTACATGTTTTTAATATTTTTTATACAATCGTCAACAATTTGTTGTTAATTAATGCTAAAGATTGTTGTAGTAGTTCATGTTGTTGATTATTCTTGTTGAATAGTGTTGTTGCAATTCAGATTTGTTGTTAATTATTGCTAATGATTGTTGTAGTAGTTCATGTTGTTGCTCCTCGTTTGTTAATTAACAGAAATGGGAGAGAAACAACAATGGTCAAATGAGCAAATAAAATGCTTATTAGAGACTTGCATTGAAGAGGTAAACACGTTGTGTAGAAAAGGGTTGAGTTTGCACAAAGAGTCGTGGAATAAGTTAGGAAGAGTTCTCAAGGAAAGGTTTGTGCTTGATTTGAGTCAAAAATAGATGAGAAATGTGTATGACAATCTGAAAACCAAATACAGTGGATGGGTGTATTTGAAAAACAAAACTGGCAACATGCACAATGCTCAAACAAATACTTTTACCTTAACGAATGAGGAATGGGAAGATTTTAAAAAGGTATGTTCCTGTGAATATTTTTTCACTTCTAACTATAAACAAAACCAATAATTTTTTTTTACTATGGGTTTAGGGGCATCCAAAGGCTGGATCCTTGAAAACAGTTCCATTGCCTTTTCTAGAGCTTTGTGCAAAATTGTTTGATGATAATGTTGCCATTGGGATGCACAAGTGGACCTCAACCCAAAAAAATCACTGGATGCATCATCTTCGCATCGTCGTCTTAGACCACTTTTGATTATGGACACCATTTTGCATGAAACAGAAGATGATGTTACTGACACTGGTCATCAAAGCTTTGAGAGTACTCCTGAACCTAATCCTGAGCCTAATCCCGATCCTACTTCTGAGCATAACCCCGAACCTAATCCAAAGAAAAAGGTTAAAATTTCGAAATCAACTATCACTTCGGATGAATTAGCCCGTGATATGTAAGAAGCTATACGATGTTTGATTAAAGGTAAAGAAGGCCCAACAGTTGTTGAGTGTTCAAAGAAGCTAAAGTTGGTTGGGTTAAACCCGATAGATCCCTTATTTTTAGCTGCTTACCATCTTTTTGGTGTGTCATCAGATATGAGGGCGGTATGGATGGCATTGCCAGAAATTCCAGAAGTATTAAAAGGGTGGATCTCGATGACGGCTAGAAGTTTAGGACTAATAAAGGAGTGAAAAACATTATTTTGCTATGCTATGTTGAAGACATTGCTTGCTTTTGTTATGTTGAAGACATTGCTTGCTTTTGTTATGTTCAGAACATTGTTTGATTTTGTTATGTTCAAAACATTGTATGTTTTTAGACGGAGCACCTTTCAAATATCATAGAAACCACCGGCTAATTCAATTTTTATTCCTGATCCGAGTCTACCCTGTTGAAACACGGGCATGTCACGTTTTCGTACTAAAACCGTGTTTATTTTTATGACAGGTTTTGATAATGCCAAACCGCCGTGATCAAGTCAAACTTTGAATATACAAGGCGAAGAAGGAAGACAAGAACAAGAGCTAAAAGAAGACCAAGAACGAAGACCTTAGTCTTAGTGTCGTTGAGTCGGTCTTCGTTGTGATCAAGACCGACCCAACCTTTACATCTTGGCTCTTTAAGCTAAAAACCTTCATTGCACTTCTTAAATCATAAAAATGCTTTTCAAACATGTTTAAGTCTTTAAAAACACTTGGTGTTCGCCTAAACCAAAAACCAAGCCATCCGGCGTTCGGGTTCCAGAAACTGGCGTTCGGCTCTCGGTTATCGGCTATGTTTTTTGGCTTCCGAACCAACCAAGTGGTTTTCAACTTTTTATGATTGGTTTTTACTCTTTGGCATGTTTAAACGGTTCTCCAACAAAAACACCTTGAAAACCATCTCTCACTTTTAGTCGTTTGACAAAAACCACGCAAAACGGCGTAAACTTGGCTAGCCGTGGTTTTTACTCAAATAACGTGATTTTTAAAGTGTCTCACTTGATTTCTTAACAAAATACATCAAATAAGTGTTTTAAACACCTAGTTTTTATTTTGGAGAACTTTGGATTTTTCGGTCGGTTTTTGCACCGGTTGGCTAGGCCATGGTTCTGGGCTAGCCATCTACCCAGCGATGGTAGAGTTTACCCATGCATGGGTAAGTGATCCCGGGATTCCAGAATCATTCCACCCAGCGATGGGAAGATCTTCCCATCGATGGGTAAGCAGTCCCTTAGCCAAACCAACTTCCAGAACCATGCCAAACAGCGATGGGAAGTTCTACCCATCGATGTTAAAGCCTTGGTGCAACATTACCACAAGGCAGAATGCTCTTACCCAGCGATGGGAAGCTTTACCCATCGATGGGAACCCAGCGATGGGAAGGCTTAACCATCGATGGGAAGGCATGACCGTTGGTGGTCATTAAAGGTTGATTCTTTCCTTATTTGAAAGTCAATCTCCCACCCAGCGATGGGAAGCATTTACCCATCGATGGGTAGGTAACCGTTGACTTCAAAACTGAAGGAAAATTGGCTTACTAGCGATGGGTAAGTTCCAAACATCGATGGGAAGCCAATATTCTGCAGATCCCAAATCTTTTCAATCCCATAAATCAAGCTAATCACTCCTTTAATGCATTGGTCCGTTGGAGCCTAATTTTGCACTATAAAAAGGGGTGTTTGGGTCTGCTTTTCTCACTAACTCACTTCACAATACTCATACTTTCATTGCATTCAAATATCATCTTTTTCCATAGCTTTCTAGAGCCACTTGTGTGAAGGTTGAGTTGTTCTTGAGCGTACTTTGTTTACTCATAATCTACTCTATAAGAGAGTCTCGTTCTTGAGTGTACTTGTGTTCTTAGACACGTTGAGAGATAGCATCTCTCTCGGTTGATTCAAAGGAAGGTCTGTTTTCTTTGAAGGATTTGTTGAGGTTCGTGTGACTCGAACTCTCAAGTTGTAACGGTTTGTTAAGC